ATCTCAAGTGGATTTCTAGTACATTTTGGCCATAAGACCGAATTTCCTTGATGGTTTGCTTATCCGTCCACCCATCTCCCTGACTGCCAGGCACCCAAAGTTGCATTGGTTTACCCGAAATGGACATTACGCAGTGACAACGTCTTCGCTTGATTGCCGAAAACCCCTGCCCTACACTTTATTCTTCGCGATCCCTTTTCCTCCGGTTAGCGGTGGATCCTTGATCCAGGCATCTCCTTTTTTTTGGTCTAGCCCTATTCTTGTTTTCCCCGAGTTTGTTTGCGCAGTAGGCAAAGTTATCGCTAATTCTACCTTCCTCCAATTTCCTGTCCATTAGATTTTTCTCCCAAAGTGTGTCAATGGCCTTCCTAATCTTCCGCTTCCTTGTGTTGTCACCGTATGGAGCTCTCCTTTCTGTTGCCTTCCAATTGATCTCGTGTCCAGTCTGTGCGATGTGTTTCGCTACTTCTGATCTTTCGGTATCCATTTTCCTGCATAGCCTCTGATGCTCCTTGATTCGTGTGCTAATTTTTCTCCTTGTTTCGTCTATATATTTCTGATCGCAGGCGCCGTATGAGATACAGTAAGCTCCTGAACAATCCAATTTGTCCACCCTTTCATGTTGCATTGGTAGACTTGTGAAAAGTGTTGATTTCTCCTTCATGACCACCTGAATATTCCAGTTACTCAATGTTGGCCGTATGTTTCTTTGTATTACTTCGTTTGGGTAGCCATCGCCGAGGAATATCCCCGTCAATTTGTCCAGGTCCCCGTCCCAAAATTCCATATCCGTTAGGCGTAGGCTTCGGATGATCATACTCCTCATTATTCCCATCTTTAGTCTGCAATTGTGATAAGACCGGAAATTGAGTATTATCCCAGCATAGGACTTCTTTCTGAGCCATTTCTTTATCAGCTTTCAATTAGAACGAATCAATTCAACGTTCAGGAACGGTATCCACTCCCCTTCCTTTTATTACATCGTAAATTGAATTTTTTCATCAATCTGGTTTACAAACTTCAGAAACTCTTTCAGTTTTTCTCTTCTATGTGACCAAAGTGCGAAGTAATCATCCAGGTATCACATGAGCACTGTCGGTTGTAGCGGTGCCGTCTTGAAGGTCTCTTCCATTTTGTTCATGTATACGTTTGACAAAAGTGGTGAGAGCGGCGATCCTATGGGAAGTCGAAATATTTGCTCATAGATGTTCCCGTTGAATGTAAAATAGGTTGTCCTTATTGTCAAGTTGATTAGTCTTGTTATCAACTCCCTCCTGATCCGTTGTGACTCTAGGATATCCTTTCCTCGGTTCAAGATTTCCAGCAAGGCTGTTAACACATTTTCTCCAGAGATATTTGTATGCATAGATTCTACAGCGAAACTTACCAATAAGTCCACTTCTTCCAGTTCCATGTTTTTGATTTTTTGAAAAAATTCATATGAATGTTTCACCGTGTTTGATAGCCTCTCATTTAATTTCTTGAGTTTCAAACATATAAACTTTGCTAATTTGTGCGTTGCTCCATACTTGTTGCTGATTATCAGTCTTAGTGGCTCGTCTTCTTTGTGTATCTTCGGTAATCCGTATGCTGTTGGTGAACGTTCATCCTTTCTTATGATTACATTTCTTGTCCATGAGTCAATTTCGCTATTCCTATGCATATCTTTCAACAATGTACTTAAGATTTCATTGAGCTTCATAGTTGGGTTCTTGTATAGCATACGATATGTGGTCCTGTCTTGTAGAATATCTTCCGTCTTCTCGGTATATTGTTTTTTTGTTCATTATCACTGTAGCTCCTCCTTTGTCCGCCTGAAGAACGAATTTTTCATTCGTTTCCAGTGTTTTGCGTATCACGGCAAATCTGTTCCTGTGTGTAGGCTCCTGATGTGTCAAGAATTGGAATTAGTTCCATCACCATTTTCCGTTTTGTCTCTTTAGGGAACTTTTCGGCGATATTGATAACCTACACCAGAATGTCTCCTAGAAGGCTTCTTGGGGAGAAAAATCTAATGAACAGAAGATTGGAGGAAGGTAGAGTTAGCGATAACTTTGCCTACTGCCTAAGCACACTCTGGGAAAACAAAAATAGAGCAATCGAAGGTATGAAGACCAAGATGGTATGGCCTTTTGTGTGGTCGCAATCCAAGACCAGCAAAATGGCGACGCCTGGATCAAGGATCTACAGTTAAACAGAGGAAAAGGGATTGCGGTGAAGAATGTGGTGGGCAGGGGTTTTCGGCAATCAAGCGAAGACGTTGTCAGTGAGTGATGCCAATTTCGAAAAAAACAAGTACAACTTTGGGGGCCTGGCAATCAGGGAGCTGGGCAGACGGATAAGCAAACTGTCACAGTAATTCGACGTTATGGCCAGAATTTTCTAGAAAATTCACTTGAGATGCCGCATGCGACCAGAGATAGGCGTCCACAGTTTGCTCAAATAACATGAATTTAATGAAGGAGAGGACCCGTCAAGGGAAGGCCTGATATCT